ATTGATGTGGAAGAATGAAGATGCCTCGTTGGTCTAGTGGTTGTAGTAGTGCGACTGGTGATCATGAGGTCCCGGGTTCGAATCCCGGGTCGGGCCAAAAAAATCAGTTATTGAGTTTTTCCATCAAGAAATTCTCAGTAGCTGCCCGGAGTCAGGAATCCGGCGGTGTTTCACCCCCGTGCCTCGGAAAGCACGTAAAGCCGTTGGTCCTGCGCCTGATCTCTCTCCGGTCGTGTCGGTTTACCGTCCCATCGGACTATGAGAGTGAGGGAATAGAGAGTGCACCTGTGCTTGCGCATACACTTGGGCACTATAATCCTGTCCTGCGCAGATGGCTAGTCTCCGCTGAGACTGGCCGCCGTGACCGAAATTCGGTCTGGAGGACATTATTATTATTATTATGTGGAAGAAGCGAGGGAAGTGTGCCAGGGTATTGCCAAATGAACATCTGTAGGCTGTGCCTATCTCTGGGTGAGAGATGTGAGAGTTGTATGTATGTATATGCTATCCATTTGGTCGTCATAAGTGATCGAACCAGTATTTGTCTTATCAGTAGTTTGTTCAAGCCCTTTCTGGGCTGTAGAATGTGTCCTTAAAAATTATTTTACTAGTGTGATGAGCCTGACTTTTGGTTTGTGTGAGGATTGTTTCAGAATTCTTCTTCATTCAACTATGAATGTATTTAATATTTTTTCCAAAGGGAGTATAAAGGTCACAGACTCCACCCTGTCGAATCTGCTAGATAGGATAGAATTTAAGAATATTGTTTTGCTGTTAGAGAGACTTCAAACCCCTATTTAGCTACGCTCATGAGTCTAACTCTGTTGTCTCGTTAACTTTGTTGTGGTGTGTTCAATAATTCATAATGTTTTGAATGTAGCATTTAAAACACTCTACGATATCTATGAACAACATTTAAAGAAATATCCAAGAGTAAAATCTTTATCGATAAGGCATTTTCGATTAGATCTTGTCTAGATAGAAAAGGGCCTTTCGCCACCATCACAACTACGTTATTATAATAATCTTGAGGATTTAATAATATTGGTGTTATCCTTTGAGACTTAAAATTATATAAGACACCTTAACGATAAATGGAATGTACTGAAATGATTAAAATAAAAAAACGACAACAAACTTAAAAGAAATAAAAAAACACTCAAAAATTCAATAGCCTACCTATCTAAAACGATATATGTAATGTTATTTTGCACAATATTTTGTATATATAATTTAATTTAAATATATCTTGCAATTTACCTAGCTAACACGTTATAAATCCATTTTATAATGGTTGATTCTTTATCGATAGTACATCTTAGCCAGCGTTATAACTAGTTAGACAGCAAAGCTGTTTACCTTATATCTATACGTAGCAACTATATGTATAGATGAAGGAAGATTAGCAACAAGGTAAAGGCAACGACGCATCGATCCGAGACGCGGACAAGAGAGCCCGAGACATAAGTACAATAGACGGTCGGCGGCTTACATATATATATGTTGTAACTACGTTAAAACCGACAGTAAGGCGCTCCCTGACAGATAGTAAAATAAAGTGCACTCCTTACTCGACCGAGCTGGATCACTTTATTACAAAAAATGCCTAAACAGCGGTTACATTTGCCAGAAGCTCCCTTACCGCCGGCGGTTTATTTCTAACTGGGTATATGCGTAACTTACTGTATCCCCTATTTCAAGCGATTATAGGCGTTAATGTAATAATAATCTTCCTATTAACTAGCTTCATTATATGTCGACTATAACTAAATTTGACTATCTAAGACTCTGTCATACATATTTTGTGATATTCTGCAGTTAGAGGTCGCACCTCGTTTCCAGTGTTTTAAACGATTTACAAACGTCCCGAACGACTCCTTTTCGTTATATACGCATAACAGCAATGAAATATTCCATAGACAATAGCGTATATGGATGTGAGTGTCGAGTAATTTGTAAACACAATTTAAAACACGCGTTACCTTTCTTCGATTGACTGGATGACAAAAATTGACTTAACAATTCGTTCCTTAGCTGAAATCAACTAATATAATGTAGTATTATATATATAAATATCTTATAATAATTTCTAGCGATATGTCTCACAAGTTTTTCATCTACATGCTCAAAACAAAGATCGCTAAAGAGAAACAAATGTACTACGACAGACGAAACGATAATTATTTTTTTAAATACAACGTATAAAATACATCATTTACAAAATATCATATAGAGTAATAGAGACGAACGCGTTTTGACGCGTCGCCATTCAAAAAGTTTCCAAAAAAGATGGTCTAGAGCGACTCAATTTTCATTTACATTAGAACATGTAACGCTCCACTTGGCATCCCCGAAATAAATACAGCAAAGATACACACAGTTCGCGTGTAACAATCGAGAATGTTACACTCCGCTGAAATTAAGTCGGTTGTAACAAAAAAAGAAGAAACACGTCACACACATACACATTCGTATTTCGACTAGCTACAGTAAAAGATTAAATGCTCCTTACAATCTATGCAATAAATATTTTTTCTTTTCACTTATCCAATAAATACATCTAATATTTTCCTACGTTTCGGTATTTTTTCCTCAAAGTTCTTTTTAAGTGTTCTTTTATATTTAGACACAACCATTTTTTTTATAACAGTATTTAATAAGTGATTCATGAGTTTAATTATCTTACGGGTCTGAATTTGGCATTGTCTTGTTCCGGAAAAAATAAACCTAATGAGAGAGAAATGACTAGAAACTCTTTGTATTTCGTTTCACTATTCGTATTTCTTTTTTTTATATCTCTATTCTTATACATACCTAGCATTCTCGTCGGATATAAAATTGTCTTAAAAAACTTCTCACTCAATGATGTAACCCATGCCTATGTTTCAACTAGGGTTCCTACTAAACATGTCTCCAAAAATCTACATTTTTCCCACTAATCTTATTCTATGCTTGTGCTTCAGATGTTGGTACCGTATCACTCCCGAAATCCTTCCCGCTTGTGTCTGTCACCTTGCATTGGAATTTCCATCTACTTTTTCTTAATTTCACTTAATAATTCTTAAACCTACAACTTACAATTGTAATAATCTTATATCGAGTAACTATATATTTTCTAAAACTTATTCTTTTATTATAATTGCATTTAACATGCTTTCATAAGCAGCGGTAGAAATAAATCTTTCGATAAGAGTGACTCACATTTTACTCCATCTTTCGAAAAGGTATTTTCACCTAATTGTGGTCAACAGAAGCTTAATTTACTAAGAAGTACTCTAAGACTTGTAGCCTTGTCTCTATCCGCACACAATCCGTTGCCTGCCGCTTTCGTTAAAAAAGTAAACATTCGAAATTTGAAAATTTTCACCAAAACATTTAAAACTCAATTGTGTCTTCCGTCAACATAGTCCGTCACCAAAACAGAAAAGACTTTACAAAAGACGAACTTATAAACATGTCGATTGAATGAATCATCATTGTATAAAATGTCAAAGTATAGTATTAGTGACTAGAATTATCTAACAAAACCTAAAATATAATAAATATTATGTTACAGCCTGATGGTTTATTCTTTAGTTAATTGGTAGGCTAGCCCATATAGTTAAGAGCCAGTATTGAAATAAAAGTAATGTTTAACAAAGTAACTAACGTTTATCCATATATTTAAACGTCATTATGCAATGATTATTATAAAATTAATAGATGTCTCAGTTCAAAGTTATATTTAATATTTAATTGTTTTGGATTTATTACGTAGGCAAACCTATATTTTACATTAAGAATTATCACAATCAGTAAAATTACATACATCGACTGTTAACGCCATATTATGAACGGCCTGTAACGGCGCGTGCCAGAAAAAGAAACAAAATTTTAACGACTTGACGTCTCGTGATTTAGCCATTTCAAAATGGTTGACTTTGGGTGACCTAAAATATTTCATATTATACGTCACTATAATTCGAATAACAGGCTAGGCGTTTAGTTCAATACAATACAACTAACGGTACAATTTAACTAACGGTCTAACCGCTCAATTATCAGGCTGATTAAGGTGGAAGCGCCAGGGTAGCCCGCGAAATTCAAATTTTCTTACGTTTTTTGCAATTTGTAGGTCAGTGTCGGGTTATATGTTTAACAAAATATGATTCGCGACCGTAACGAGTATGTATTTACAGAATTATAATCATTATAATCATCAATACAACCGTCTATGTTCGTATAATTCCAATGTATGGCTATTTCCAGAAAACTCATTCAAAGGAATTATATGAACTTAGAGGGTTGTATTGGTGATTTTAATGATAATAATTCTATAAACACATACTCGTTACGGTCGCGAATCATATTGTATTAAATATCTAACCTGACCTTACCCTGCAAATTCCAAAAAACGCAAGAAAATTTGAATTTTGCGGGCCACCCTGGAGCTTTCACTTTAAACCATCCGGCTGCAACAGTAACACTAAATATATACACGATTGACTAAAGGAGTAATAAAATTAGGTACGGTCCTTTGCAAAAGTCCATATTATAGAATGAGCAGAAAAATGGAATGTGCCGGTCACAGTTACTGTACCATTTTTTGTTACATTTTCAACATTCTTTGAAATTTTAGAAAATTTATGACGACTTAGTTTATTAACATAATTACTTAAAGTCTGCATTGTACTAATAGAAATATTTTGAACCTAAAGGCGTTGTGTTAAGGTTTATATTATTATTGATAGATTATGTTTTTAATTAACGTCTGAGAGAATTGTATGCCGAATTTAGCTTTAATGCTATGTATGGACTTTGCTAATTACTATTGTTAATAAACTCTGGTAATAGCCAGGGCAATGAGTATAAGACAGCGGTATGACATAACGTAGAAAGAACTTGTAATGAGAATTAAGACAAAGTTATGAAGGTGGAATGTAGTAAGGCGTTAAGAACACTTAAATCCACTCTTTTTGTAGACAGCAGCAGGTAGGTTCGGGCGGGGGGGCGCGCTGGCCTCACACGAGGAGGCTCGGGGCCAGCCATTCATCTTCACCGATCTACAAAAAAGAATATTACTTAATTTTTTTTATAGGATAGGGTGACAAACGAGCACACAGTCCACCTGATGGTAAGTGGTTGCTGTGGCCCATAGACATCTACATCTATCTTCGTTTGCGAATTAAAATGTAGATACGTTGTCAGCCGTGAGGACTAAGATGGAATGCCTCTTTTCCAGTAAAAACGGTCTCCGGTTCTCTACACTCACCATACAAAACACAGCAATGTTAAGCTGCTATTTTACATTGGTATTCTGTGAGAGCGTGGTCCTTCCCCGGTCGAGCCGACTCATTTGTGCATTAACTATAATATAGCTGCAGCGTGGCTCTATCACGTAACGTACATTTTTGTACAACGATGTATAAATAAATAAATAAATATTATGTAATATTAATATAATTACACTTTGCCTTGTTATGGTCACCTAAGTAATCGACCATCATATGATTGATCACTGACAGTGCAAGAATATCCACTACCTCATAATATCGTCGCTTGGATGCCGTAAAAGGCGACAGAGGGAAACAAGGAAAGGAAACATGAAACGGGCAGTAGTGTTTTCTTAAATGTGAAAAAAAAACTGCGATTGCCAAGACCTATGAAGTGTGCAAATATCCACCTTCTGAAGCAACCTATGGGAAGCCTATGTTCAACAGTGGACTTTTATAGGCTGTAATGGATGGATGTTTAGAAGATAATCTACCAGGAGCACATGACCCACTGAGAGGTTAAGTTATTAAATTAACAGTAACATTACAACTATGGCAAATACCCCCATATGAGGCAATTTATGGAAGGGTCAACTTTATAGGCTGTAATGGATGGATGTTTAGAAGATAATCTACCAGGAGCACATGATCTACTGAGAGGTGAAATTGTTAAATTAACAGTAACTAGTTATCTGCTGCGTTATACATAATACTTCGTAGTAAGTAGCTTTCCTTTATGTTTTGCAGTGGGCGATAATTAAATTGAAGATGAAGTAGTTTTGCACCTTTGAAGTACTTAGTTTAGTTTAAATAGGGTCCCAATCTCATTTATGCCCCGGGGCCCTTGGATACATAGCTACTCCACTGGTTAGGAGAAGGGAGAGAAACCGGCGGACGATACCTACGGGCGGTATCAATTAGCACCACCTTCTGCATAATACGGAGCAGTCCGTCACCGAGTCCCAGTCGCCTCAGATGACCCGAGTGCCAAGTCCAGATTTTTTATTTTCTTAACCGTCGATAATGTCGAAAATATCTTGGACTGCGTCTGGTCCATCACCACAATATTAGGTTTATTTGCAAGAATAGTTCTGTTATAAAATTCTGGTCCCTTAGAGCTTGGCACTGTCATTTGCGAGTACTATATACACTGAAATAGTAGTATACTGGGTCGCGATTAGGTTACCACATTTAATAACACAGCGGTAAATACAAGTTCATATACTTATGTCTGTTAAAATAATAAAATAAACAATTCTACCAAAAATAAAAAATAAATGCATCTTTCAAGCAAAATAAATAGCGTAAAATTGACACAAAATAAATCACATTGATAATATTAGTTTACTGACCTGAAGTGACCTGAAGTGAAATGAAAAATCGGCAACGCGCAGTGCTCACGCGGCATCGACTTATAATTATTTACCTACATTTTCCCATTCATAGGTTATTAGGCAAAAAACGAAAAAAAAGGGCTACCGCGACTAGAATGTTAATTTTTATATATCTTTTAGTTTTGTATGTTCAAAGAAGTTTTTTTAATTTATTTACATCAAAACTAATGTCTATCAGTACAGGATTCTACCCAATGCCATAGATAAAGCACGATTTACAACCCTATATTACCTTATAGCGAATTATCCATAAAGCAGGCTTCGTGAATTCTTTCAGAGTACAAAATAATAAAATACCTGTTGCCCTGTCAATCAGGTTTAACTTTCGAAACGCTAAAGTCAAGTCAAGTCAAGTTAGTGCGACATCTAGGGACGGCCAGTAAGTCTGACTGACGCCGCCGTCATATATTCCTATCCGTACCACAAACACTGATCTCCAATCTTATTATTATGCCTGACACTTACGGGCTGCACTTGGAAGTGCTGCACTGGGTAGTGGAGGACCTGCGGAGGTTGGGACATGGCGGCCACGCCACCCACTGAGCCCACTCCCCCCACGCCGCCTCCGAGCGCCCACGGCAGCTGCACGCCACCCATACTGGAACGTACACAAAATGTTTACAGTAATTGATTCAAGTTTATTTAGATAATTTGTATTTTTATGGGTCTTCATTATCATTATTACAGCTCTTTATAAATCCACCGTTGAACATAGGCCACCCCCAAGGGATGCCACAAAGCAGGGTCGTTTTTATAGAATAAGGATGACAAACAAAAGGATGACAAACTCAGTCCACCTTATGGTAAGTGAATGTTGAGGCCCAAAGACATCTACATCTATACTTGATTAAGAATCAACATATAGGCGCGTTGTCACCCCTGAGGACTAAGATGTAATTTCTTGTTTCCAGTAAAAAGGGTCTCCTTCCAATCAAACTGGAGCAGCATGGGACACTTATTCGACCACGCTGCTCCAATAGTGCCTTAACCCTCTCAGAAATAAGAGGAGGCCTGCACCCAGTAGTGGGACGTACATTGGCTGTAACGTCACTTTATCATCATCTTCATCATCACATAGACCTCCACCAAGGTATGCCAAAAAGCACGACCCTTAGCCACCTGCATCAATCGACTTCCTGCATATCTTACCAGGTCGTCACCCCATCTAATGAGCTAGAGCTTCTCGAGTGGCAGCCTCGTACCGGTAGCGAAGTGTAGAGTGGCCCCCACTAAATGGTAACTTCACTTATAAACTTTTCATTTGAAAATAATTAGTATTAAATATTTTTAGGATTTTTTTATTGAGCATTTGCCGATCAGACGCCAGTAAGCCTTTATTAGAATGTAATAATAGTAATGCTATCTAGACCGAATTTAGGTCATAGCGGCCAGTTTGAACGGAGTATAGCCATTTATGCAGGACAGGATTAAAGGGCCTAAGTCCATGCGCAAGCACATGTGCACTCTCTATTGCCTCACTCTCATAGTCCGATGGGACGGCGATCCGACACGACTGGAGAGAGATCAGACGCAGGACCAACGGCATTAGATAAGTAATTTTGGAGGCACCTTCCCGACTCCGGGCTGCCATTGAGAAATTCTTGAAATTAAATCCAATAACTGATTTTGGCACGACCCGGAATTCGAACCCGAGTCCTCATGATTAGCAACCGCATTTACGACCACTCAACCGACGGGGAAATAAGAATGTAGTAGTTGTATAGAATTATATTCCATATTTTGACCCTTAATAAACTAGTGTTGGGAATGAGGGTAGAAATAAAAGGAAATACGAACAAATGAAGGTAGAATGATAATCTCCCACTTGTTTTAGCAGTATAAAGTATCGCACAGGCAACTAAGAGGCATCAGTCTGTAATTCTGAGAGTCCACCTGTCGTTACTCTGCCCGTTGGGGTGTTATACCAGTGTAGGCAAGGAAGGTCGTGTTGCTGAAAAGCTACCCCTGTGTTACATTGAGATGGATGGTGATGCTGTTGGTTTGCATACTTTGGTGTTATCATGTAATTGGGGTCCTGATAGTAAGCAGGGTTTGTTACGGAGTAGTGTTCTTATATTTAAAAACTTTTGAAGATAATTTCTAACATCAGAAGTGGAATAGTTTCTTACATCAAAAGTGGGATAGTTTCTAAAAGTAGCTAAATAATAATATTGTTACAATTTTAAAATATAAAATTCAATAATTTCTTACCCCATATATTGCTGTTGGTAGCCCGCAAACTGCCCCGCGTAGGAATAGCCTTGGACACCTTGGACTCCTTGCAGGAAGCCGCCAAGCTGCTGAGGATATGTGTTGTACCAGTACGAAGCGGGGGGCACACCACCGGCGGTATACGCGGCACCGAAGGGACTGTAAGCCGTGCCGCCGAGCTGGTAGAAAACATAAAAAAGTAATGTTTACGCCCTTATATGTCCTACTACGTCGACTTACGTGAGTCCAGTAAAAAGGTTCTCCGGTTGTCTATATCATATGGTGAGTATATGAAACACAGAAGCATTAAACAGCTATTTCAAATTGGTATTCTGTACAAGCGTGGTCTTTCCCCGGTCTAGTCGACTCATTCATGCTGCAACTAGTGTCCGACCGAAGCTTCGGCTTAGGCTGGCCAAAAAACCAACTTCGGTGAAATCTTCGGCTTCAGCCAAAGTGGGCCGATGTTTTAGGCGAAACCGAAACTGTGTTTTATGTAGATGATCTTAAGTAATGTGTCAAAACATGCGTATAATACCCGGCATTATACGGTACAAGTCGCGGCACGTAAGTCTAGCGCTGAACGAAACGTGGAGGGGAGGCGCACGAATTGAATTGCACAAATGCGACTGGAGAGCCAATCAGCGCGTGCGAACGATACGCACGAGCCAATAAGCGCGAGTTATGCACAATAGCGGTCACCGCTAGACTTTCGTGCCGCTACTTATACATGACCACGTCAATCAGTGGATGCATCACAGCCCTTCACGAGATCAATAATCATCGGCCTGCCCCAAGGAATGCCACAAAGCACTCCATCTATTCGGGGGCCGCCTCATTCTTCGCTTACCGCTACGAGGTGTCACTCGAAACCCTTAATTCCCAATCGGTTATAAGTTCTTTGAGCTAGATAGCCGCTCCATTGCCAGTTCAACTTACTAATCCGTTGGACTATGTCAGTTACTCTGGTTCTACTGCGGATATCGTCATTTATAAGTCGTCACTAGAAACCCTGAGCATAGCCCTTTCCATTGCTCGCTGAGCAACCTTGAGCTACCTCATACGGCCAGCAGTGAAGGACCACATCTCAGATCCATATGTCACCACTGACACTACGCACTGGTTGTACAATCTTGTTTTAAAGTTTAGAAGTACTATAACTGACGAGATGTGTCGTAATCTCTCGAACGCTGTCCAACCGAGATAAATCCGTCGATTGATCTCTCGGTCAAAGTTAGACTTAACTAGTCGGACTATTTGTCTTAGATAAACATACTCGTCGACAAATTCGAGCGTAGTGATCCCAACAACTACTGGCATGGGTATCACACGTTACACATGACCTTTGTTTTGTCCATGTTTATTTTAGGACCTATCCGTTGGGAGACATTATTGAGGTCATTCCTTACACCTTAGTGCTGCGGTCCTCTAGTGATTCTGCCATAATATGGACTGTAACATCATCGTCGTCTTCCCAATTAGCCATTTATAATGACGTAACAACATGGCCATCATAGACATACCATTACTTCTTTTAATATTCCCTTTGTTGAGTTTAAATTACGTCTTAGCTGTGTACCTTCCAAAATTAATTTCAGTTAATTTGTTATCCCTTGTTATTTGTTGATTTAATTTGATTGAAACAGCGCCACCTTTGCATAAACTGGAACATTCTAATATTCCCTTAATAAACACTTCTCGGATCTGTCTCTATTAGTTGAATTTGCATTTGAAAGAAATTCCGCTGTGACATTATAAAATTTGCATCTCTTAAGTGCCTCTTAGTAACGTTTGTCGGAATAATTTTAATAATTTATGTTTGAGACACTTTTATTTTTCTTCTTGATGTTGATTATGACTGCTATTTTAATTTTAATGAGTTTGGACTTTTATAGATTATATTACTGTTTTAAATTATTTATTTTTAAAAAACATGTCACAAATAAAAAAATTAAAAATATACGTGGTAATATTTTTAATTTTTTTTTTATAGGATCGGGGGACAAACGTGCACACAGTCCACCTGATGGTAAGTGGTTACTGTGACCCATAGACATCTAGATCTATCCTCAATAAAGACTCAAAAAGCAGATGCGTTGTCTCCCGTGAAGACTAAGATGGAATGCCTCTTTGCCAGTAAAAAGGGTCTTCGGTTCTCTACACTCACCATGCGAAACACAGCAGCGTTAAGCTGCTATTTTACGGTGGTTTTCTGTGAGAGCGTGGTCCTTCCTCGGTCGAGCCGACCCATTCGTGCTACAACCATAATATAGCTGCAGCATGGCTCTACCACGTGTCGTAAAGCAATGCTGTAGTTATATTATAGTTGTAGCACGAATGGGTCGGTTCGACGGGGGAAGGACCACGCTTTCACAAAACAAGTTTTAAAATTAAAAACTTTGTACAACCGACTTCAATATAAATAAAATGAGAACATCATCAATGTAGTCGAAGTCAATTAAATACGCATTATTAAGGATAATTCAAAAATTACTGGTCAGATCTTGATCAAATTTATACGTAACCACATAAGAAGCATCAGTTTTCAAATAAAAAAAGATTAATCGAAATCGGTTCACCTAGATAAAAGTTCTATGAGAACACACATAAAAAATAAAGTTGAAATTAGAACCCCCTTTTTTTCTTGAAGTCGGTTAAAATATCAGCGTTAAATAGCAGCTTAATGCCGATGTGTTTCGTAGGGTTTTGAACGTGGTAGAACCATGCTGCAGCTATATTGTGGTTGCAGCACGAATGGGTCGGCTCGACCGTGGTAGGACCACGCTCTTACAGAATACCTGCCTAAAATAGCAGCTTAATGCTGTTGTGTTTCGTATGGTGAGTGTAGAGAACCGGAGACCCTTTTTACTGGAAATGAGGCACTCCATCTTAGTTCTGAGGGGTGACAACGCATCTGCATTTTGATTCTTGATCGAGGATAAATGTAGATGTCTATGGACCACAGTATCCACTTACCATCAGGTGGACTGTGAGCTCGTTTTTCACTATTATTCTATAAAAAGGGTGCGTGTAGAGAACCGTTCGAAAACCGAACCCTTTCTTTGGATTTTAATCCTCAGATGTGACTAAGCATCTATATTTTATTCTAAATCGATAATAGATGTAGATGTCTTTGACCACAGCATCCAGCTACCATCGGGTGGACTGTGTGCTCATTTGTCACCCTAATTATGTAAAAGAAAACGTATAGAATGTTCACTGCTCGTTAACGTAAGCCTCCCCTATAGATTGGCTCAAAGGGGGAATTTCGCCATACTTGCCACGCATGGCTGGTAGTCAGCCAGTTTTTATTATTCTCAGTTGGTATCAGGAAGATGTTCTAGTTCATGTCCTGTTTGCGTTTCCCATTTTGATTCTTAAATGAGGATATGTTCAGATGTCTATGGGCCACAGTATCCACTTACCATCGGGTGGACTATGTGCTCGTTTGTCACCGTTATTCTACAAAAAAAAAATGGAACTCATTTAGCTCACCTGTCCTTGAGCTTGTGCGTTGTTTGGATCGCCGGACTCCTTCCCCCAGGAGCACTTCACGGGCTGGCCGTTGACGTCGGTGTTGTGGACTGCCACGATAGCGTGGGTAGCGCTTTCTTTCGTTGAGAATCTGAAACGATGTTTAATTTTTTTTTTAATAATCAAATAGTTTTAACCAATCCAGATTGCTATGGACGCTTAGTTGACGGGTTGTCGATTGTAGTTACCACATGTTTTACTGGTGCAGAGACTATGCAGAATTTAAAAAGAAAATGTTTGTTTGACTTCTACTAGTCAAACCATTTTTTTAAATAAAATAATACAATACAATACAATAACTTTATTTCAGGCATCAAGGACTTAAAAATTAAGAACATTGGCCCATAGCAATATATACCTTAACCTAAAAATATATATAAAATATAGACATAACTTAACACTATTTAGGGAACTTTTTTCTTTGGCGCGTCCCTGTATCGGCGAAACACTACCCCAGAGGGCCAGAAATCGGGAGCGAGGAATGTCTCTTTATGTTTTGCAGGAACCTGGAGTACGTAGGATTTGAAGTTCGTTGACCTATTAGACTCCAGACGCTGCAAATGTAAAGAGATCGGATCCTCAATGCGGCATCGGCTTCGTTCTTCCACGAAGCGCAGGACGTCTTCTCCCGACGTACTTTTGTCCAAACGGGAGATGTAGAGTTGTATGGTTGGCTCCACAGCACGCAGAGTTGTACTCGCGTTTATTTTCGCGGTCCCACGCTGGTTACAGACGGGTCGCGACCGACGTCTCTTCTCAACAAGAGTAAACCCGTCCTTATCAATCTTGTCTTGGGTCACCACTGGAACTGATTTTATTTCCACATTCTTCCGCTTTCGACCACAAGAGGGTGCCGGTTGTAAAAATAAACGTTACCTCCACTTTAGGATTTTCTCCTGTATCGCAGAGGCGGTTTACATACATACATTTCACAAGAACAAATATCTGAAACTGTAATAATCATTTGTAGACCATACAAATACCTTGTTCCGTGAGAGATTTGATTCCGCGATTCTTAACGCTGTAACACATTGCCAAGTCACTGCGTCACGGAGCCGTTTAAGGCTTTAAAAACCATACAATTGCCATTTAACTTATATGTATTATGTGGAACAGACACAAAGTTACCATGTTATTTTTTTATTTGAGCTAGCAGCTATGCAGGTCTCAAAAGACTAGTATCACTGCCACCTGTAAGATCTATTTGTGATCGCTGCTATGGTTATATTTCACTGCGAAGCCCTATGTCTTCAATGAATTGAAGGATTTGCTTAGTTGTGAGCAATTTGTTTTCGTCTAGACTAAGTACGTAGTTTCCCAGATGAGTGTTAAGGGTCCACAATCAGTGAGGATTTACGATGTTTCTTTCGTTAAGGAACAGAATCGGTACATCCTTGATTTGCATATTACCAAGATGGACGTGTGCTTTTTAGACAACAGTGTCCAGTCAGAGCTCTTGCCAGAATACGCTGTTTACTCTTACTTAATCCCAGGGCATCTGAAGCGAATTTACGAAGATCTCACTAACGTAAGACTAAACGATTGAATCCATGGGCTCCAAAGCGTGTTACAAACAATCAAGTCTCTGCACCTCTCCTAGTGTTTAGTACATATTACTTAAATGATACTTGAATACATGCTCGTGCGACGCACGCAAGCATGCACAGATATCGGTTTAAAAAACTTTGTTTCTCATTACGACAATTGTCACATACATGAGAACAATAATATCTAAAATTATAATTCTAGTGCGTGCGGTAAGTAAAATATACATTGGTCGATCGTTGACCATAAAGTTTTTACGTGGTAGAGCCATGGTATAGTCATAGCACGAATGGGTCGGCTCGTTACTGAGGAAAGATCACGCTTTCACAGAATACCAGCGTAAAATAACAGCTTAATACTGCTGTGTTTCGTATGGTGAGTGTAGAGAACCGGACACCCATTTTATTGGAAAAGACGCATTCTAGCTTAGTCTTCACGGCTGACAACGCATCTGCATTTTAATTCGCAAACGAAGCTAGATGTAGATGTCTATGGGCCACAGCAACTACTTACCATCAGGTGGACTGTGTGCTCGTTTGTCACCCTTATTATATAAAAAAAAGTTCATTGTGTTTCTATCTAACTCTAAGGCGATGATCTATATTATATTGTATTATTATATTATATTGTATTATTATATTATATTGAAATTTTTTTTTAATTTAGAACAATATGAAATATTACATTTGTTTAATTAAAGTAACTATAATTAAAGCTTATTATAGAAGGATGGAAGGAAGGAAGGTGTCAGGATCGCGCCAAATGGAAGTCCGTAGTCTCTGCCTACCCCTCTGGGTGACAGGCGTGAGTGTTTATGTTTTATAGAAGGATCGTACACATAAAAAATGGTTACACAATTTAACATTTAGATTTAGACGGTAATACAACAAACCATACTCTTTGATAAACTACTAAATAACATCATAAAATAAAATAAAATAAATAAATAAGAAAATAAATTTTCAAAAAATATATGAAAAAACTAAATATAATAATTTATGTACCTGATGAACGCATATCCTTTATCCTTGAAGACCCGGATCTCCTGAATGGTGCCAAAAGGCTGGAAGGTCTTCTGCATGAGCTCCTCAGAGAGGCCGGTGGTCAGGCCGCCGCAGTACACCGTGCAGTTGGTGGGTGAGCTCTGGTTGTACACCTCGTCGAACGTCAGGGGCTTGGAGTTCACTGGAGAGAGATGAATGACATAGTTTAGACACGGTAGCTTAAGCAAACTATTCTTAACACATTGAAGTAAAGAACAAAAAAATTACATTGTAGCCTATATACTTCTTACTGCTGGGCACATTCCTTCTCCCATTTAGGAGAGGGTTGGTGAACTTCTCTTCGATATATATGTTATGGACCAAGTGATTAATTGGGCATTATATATAATGCCCGGGCATTATATATAATGCCCGGGCAATATGGTTAATGCCCATTATGAGTGTATGCAATCTGATAAAACTATTGAAATAATTAAATTGACCGGACATTATGAATAAAGCCCGTTACTTATTAAGCAGTAATAAAAAGATGGAAGTGTCTATTCATACGATTATCGAACGATAATTTTTTTAAATTATACGATATATTTTTAATTTAAAAATAAATAACATATTAAAATATTTAAACAAAATAAAGTATATACAGGGTTATTTTTTTTATAGAATAAGGGTGACAAACGGGTACACAGTCCACCTGATGGTAAGTGGTTACTGTGGCCCATAGACATCTACATCTATCCTCGATTACGAATCAAAATGCAGATGCGTTTTCACCCGTGAGGATTAAGATGGAATGCCTCGTTTCCAGTCTACACTCACCATACGAAACACAGTAGCGTTATGCTGCTATTTTACGCTGGTATTCTGTGAGAGCGTGGTCCTTCCCCGGTCGAGCCGACGCATTCGTGCTACAACTATACTACTAATATAGCTGCAGCATGACTCTACCACGTCAAATTTTGCAATAACCAGCCAAATTTGCAGAGAATTTTCAGAATTACAAATGGTGAAGAAAACTTAATTAAAGAAATCTCAAGCATTCTGTCCTTTTTTATCTTTTAAATTCTAAAAGCGTGGTAATGCATTATTTTAACGTGAGTATTTAACGTGTTGTAAGGATTGATCGGTAGACAAAAACGTTGTTGCTCATAAATTACATCTAATTTGGAATATACGAGTATTTCAAATAAAAGTAGAAGCCTTATTTACTCATATTTTCAAAAATTGTAATAACGGTATATCGTTTTTTTTTTATTTTTTTATTTATTTATGTACATTGTACACACAACAAGATACAGAAACAGTCTTATAGTGAGTTTGTACAAAGGTTCTACTTATTCCGTTATTTATATATTTCAACTTTTTTTTTTAATTATTGATCCACCTACATTTGTATAATTCCTTACATGCTATTTAAATACAATGAACCAATAAGAACTAAAATGTACAAATAATTACAGGCGGATACCACATGCTAATAACTATCTCAGCACTGTAACTTTATTTCTAGGGTAAAAAAAATTTAATAATGATATACAGTAATAAAAATAGATAGAGCGAAAAGAAAAGAAAATGTTTTATAGAATATTACAAGAAATGGTCTCTTAATGTGCGACGGAGCTTGTTAGGAGGGTCGAAAAATATATCGATTGTTTCGCTAAATTTGTTAACAATTTTACTCATTATAGCAATTGGGGAATTGGAGGAAACACTGTTCTACGATGTGGACTAGTCAACGGTGTAATCTTACGAGCAAAACGCGGATAGCGATAGGGAACGCACAAATTAAATTTACTTAAAATTTCGGGACAGTCAATAACACCATTAATAATTTTCGAAGCAAAAATTAAATCAATGATCAATAATACTTAGGCTACTCTTTGAAAAATAACCCTGTATATTTATATGCTCTGATACTTACGCGAATGATTAAGCTATTTACGTCTAATAAAACATTACACCATTCTTGCAATATCAGTGACAGTAGATTAAAGTGCGGCTGGGGTGACACTTGGGCCTCCCTAAAGCCGCGTACAGATTAACGATATAATCGTTAACCATAAATAAATTAAAATATTATATTGAAAGAAATTTAGTTTTTAATTTTAATAATTTTCGAACGGATAATTCAATCAAATTAATTTTTAACAACCTTACCATTATTAACTTATTGTCTTAAAAGTGATTAACATGGTTAGGTTAGGCTTTTTTTTGAAGGGTGACTACCGAGCACAGAGTCCACCTGATGGTAAATGGTTGCGTTGGCCCATATACATCTACATCTATCCTCGTAAGGGAATCAAAATGCAGATGCGTTGTCAGCCGTGAGGACTAAGATAGAACGCCTCTTTTCCAGTAAAAAGGGTATCCGGTTCTCTACACTCACTATACGAAACACAGCAGCGTTAAGGGTGCGTTTGCAAATCGGGCCAAATTATGCTGTTTTTCGGTACATTTTGTGACAAAACTAAACCAAATCAAACATAACTAATTACTACAACGTATAGAATGGTTCTTTATCTTCAAATAGTGGTAACTTTTTTGTTGAAAATAATAGTTTTTTACATTGTAAAAAGGATCTTCCCTAGCCATTTACTACAAAATTAACGATACCGGCTCATATTTCGGTACATTTTTTGTTCTATTATCAACATATATTAAGATTTCTAAAAATACTGTAAGTAGGCAGACATATTCAATAAAAAATGCTGGTGATTACTTTTTATCAAAATGTCACAAATAGTCGTAAAAAAAATAAAAACTGATGCTTATTTTTTGACATATTTTGCTGATACGGATGAATCCTAATGGATTGCAATAAGGGTTATTTTATTTTTAGTGTCTGTTTTGATTTGTTGTACAAAAATTTCGATGAAACCACAGTCGGCGCTCGGCCGCTATCGTGGGTGGTCGCTGTATCGCCTGCAGCAGCTGAAAAAGATCGCTGTACAAACACAAAATATTCGAATTTGATACATAGGTACATGACCTGACAACGTAAAATAATACATACATAATATAAATATTTTTATAATCACAAATTCTTATTATAATGTTTTGTTTCGCTAAAAGCAAGTAGGATTTATAATATATAAATATATATATAAATCCTATTCGTCTTGGACTTTATGGAGTGATCTGAAAGTATACGGTGAATGCTACTAGAACTCCTCGACGAGTTGAACTAGGTGTGCCGAGTTTGGGCTCATTATGTTAGTTATGACGAGACCTTACCTCCGGACTTGAAGGAATGACCTGAAGGTGTACTTCGGTAACTGCTAGTGGAACTCCTGGACGAGTAGAACTAGGTATGCCAAGTTTGGGCTCGTTTTGTTAGTTACGACGAGACCATACCTCCGGACTTGACAGAATGACCTGATGGTGTACGTTGGTGACTACTACTGCAACTCCTGGACGAGTAGAACTAGGTGTGCCGAGTTTGGCCTCTTTTTGTTAGTTATGATGGGACCTTACCTCCGGAATTGATGGAGAGACCTGATGGTGTACTTTAGTTACTACTACTGGAACTCCTGGACGAGTAGAACTAGGTGTGCCGAGTTTGAGCTAAAATAACTTTACTTCAGAAAACTGAACCATATAAAAGTCAAATTAAATTTAAATAATTTTTTATTTGCAAATTATATCAAGGTTTATTACCCCTGCATTAGCCGGGGAGTATAAGGCTCGATTCACATTGCCGCGGAATCGAATGGAAGTGATTTTTAGTAACGAAATTGTACATAGTAAAATTAATTTTATGTTAATTGCGTAACGTGGCAAACTAGATATGAGCCGAAAAAGACGTCGCGCGTCTTCCGGGTAATTATCGCGCATTCTCGAGAATTACCGTAGCTACTGTCGGCGCAGTCTGTGGAATCCGCGGGAAGTAATAATAATATTTATTGAAACCAAAAATATTTTAACATGAACATAGTTAACGTTAACATCCGCAGTAGTCGACGACTGTGTCGCAAATGTTAGCACCTCACATAGACAGGCGTTTCCAATTAAAAAGTATTATATAATAATATTTTTAGTGACTTATACTAAGAACATAGCAAAATATTTTAAGTAATTTAGAGCGCGCGCGTGTGTGTGTGTGTGTGTGATTTTTTTATAGGATAAGGGTGACAAACGAGCACACAGTCCACCTGATGGTAAGTGTTTGCTGCGACCCATAGACATCTACATCTATCCTCTGTTACAAATCAAAATGTAGATGTGTTGTCACCCGTGAGGACTAAGATGGAATGCCTCATTTCCAGTAAAAAGGGCCTCCGGCCACCTGCACTCACCAAGCGAAACGCAGAGGTAAACCTCTACTTCACGCTGGTTTTCTGTGAGGTCGTGGTACTACCCCGGTTCGAGCCGGCCCATCCTTGCGACAGCAAAAGCTGCCACGTGGCTCTACCACTGTTTGTGTGTGTGCTTCTACCTAGTCATAATCTAGGCTTAGTAGCCAATGTTGCTTTACCACTGCAAGCCCACACCTCACCGTAGAGCATACTTTGTCTTTTCTTCTTATATTCAGTAAAATTTTAGGATCATATGCAAGAGTTTTGTGTTTGCGAAGAATCGTATTTAATATAAATAATTTACGAACGCAGAGAACTTCGCAATATCTAATAATTGGCTTGGAAGCAATTACTTTTAATACAGCCCTTTGTGCCCTTTCGAGCTGTATAATGTTAGTTTTTCCGGCAGCGCCCAAAATCGTAATGCAGTAAGTGATAATGGATTGAGCTAAGGCAAAATACGCAGTCCTAAGAATCGCAACGTCAACGCCAACACGCAGCTCGTTAAAGGCAAATATAAGTTTCCTAATACGTGACGTCATCATCAAGGAAGTCGCGCGAAGGGTGACTTTCTTCCATAAATCATGAGCCCAAATATTTCTTTTCCTGTTTTCCTTTTCTCGTCATTTTCTTCTTCAGCCTCACAAATAAGCAATATGAAAATAACAACCCATCAACCATTCTTGTCAAATGAAAGATCTAGACTAAATTACTGAACGGCGATTATAGCTACAAGGCGCAGTCGCCGCGCGCTTTCCCGCGCGATGAGGCGAAATTGACGCTTCCGTTCCATTCCATTCCGTAAATTGAGCCTAAGGCCGCGTTCCGACGACACGCACCCGCTACGCGCACGCCACGCACGTCATCACCCGCATCTAACTCGCTT